TCAAAATAGTGTTTCAGAAGAAGCTGACTTTCCTTTTCCGGTTCACGTCTCTATGCTGGCTATAAAGAAGACACTTCAGCATGCACCATCATAAATACCACTTTGCAAGCATTCCAACACCACCATTAGATTTGGCCACTTTGGATCACAAACCAGAACTGCTAACAGTGTTTCCCAGTACTCATCATGAGGCCTGAACTTTTCCTAGCCTGTAAACTTGCTAAACAAATGCCCTACTGTGACATTTTCTATGCCAACTATCCATGCTGATCTGAAAAAAATTTCAGCTACTTCTTCAGAAGGTAATCAGTTTTGTGCGCACATGCACAATATATGTCGAGATGGTGGCTTTTTTGGTGTGGGTTTCTTTTTTGCTTTTTTTTCCTTTTCAATATATTGTGCAATTGCCAGGCCTCAAAATCAAAACAGAAAGATGGCAGGACATCTCCTATGTGCCAAGGATGCTTTCATTGCCATCTCTACAGGTCACTAATGCATTCACTGTCATTCCTGTGAAATGACCCAAATTGCGCTATTTATAAGCTTTTGATAAAATCTGCAGTTAAATGTTGTCCTGGAGAACAGGAATTTAGCCAGATTCTACTACAGATTTCTGGTAGTGTGCCAGGCAAATCACTTAAAATCAGCCTTTCAGATCATCATTAGACTATGGGTGCCTGAACTGGGCCAACACACACAAAATTCAAATAACAAAATCCATACTTTGAACACTTACTTAGGCCTAGCTATGCTAAGAAATAACCATCTTAAGTTCTCAAAATTCTGTCCTTATTTCTTGCCAAAGATTTGCTGCAGCAGAGCTACCTGAAAAATGAAGATAATGCCCCCCACACACTACTTAAATGAATCACACGAACACTGGAGTTACAAACACCTAAAAAAAGCCACAGAAGAAAAAACCTAATGCTTTCATTTTCTGAGCAGGACTTGAACAGTAAGGCATAAACCCAACCTGGCCATCTGAGCAATGAAGCTAGTGGAAAATATCAAACAGCTGCTCATTAAACAAGAGCTATCCATCTTGAGACGGATCTTGTGGAAGAGATATGGTCATGTAATTAAAGACTGTATCATAATACATTTATAAAGAGGTGAAATACCGTTCCAAATCGCATGAAAAATCCACAACTCCTTTATCGGTCTTCAGAGAGGACTTTTTTTTCAGAATATACAAATTAAAAGGAAAGGAATAATCAGAAGTGGTTTCAATAAGCAATAAAAATAAAGGTGCCTAGTAACAACACAAAAAAATCTGTATCAAGTCCCAGTGCAATGTGATTCATTAAGATGAACAAAATCACAACCATCAGCAGCTACAGTATTTAACAGGTTACTACCTAGTTGGAGGGTTTTTAAATTTATTTTTATATATATATATTAAAAAAAAATCCAGGTATGATGCCACTTCATACTGTTCATCTTACCAAGCGTAGCCCCCTGATCACATCATCACACCTCTTTCTTATGTCTTATTAGTGTTGTGTGATGCTCACTCAAAGGACAAACAACTATCCCAAGTTACATTTATTGTTTCAGTTATAAAAAAATACTGATTATCTCTTCCAGAAAATTATGTTTCTTCTGTATAGTTCTAGATTTCTTACAAAAGCACACCAACCAACACCCCTACTATACATCAAACTACAATAACCATATTTGAACAATTACCACTCAAGACTCTTCCTCAAAACACCACTCAGCTGCTTCTTGTTCCTGTGAGCGAGGGGGCCCCTCACACAGGGCCACACATCTTTCTGAACTAAAATACGGTAAGAACAAGACAAAGACCTATTGATTGCAATATTTTTCAGTACTTCAAGACAGGTCAAACACATCAAAAGACTGCAGTAGCCACATGGTCACTAACGGACAGTCACTGGGCTGGCAGTGAAACGTATCTTTTATTAGCAGACTTTTTTTCAATAACACCTAGAGTAAAAATGTAACTTCTCTTTACTTAAAGGTCGAGAATAAGTCACTCCAATATACCCTACAATTCACGAGTTGTTAATCATTACACAGTCATGAAAGAACTATGCAAGTCAAGTCACATTTTTAAAAACCATTTCATCTGTCCTTTAATAACCTTGAGTAAAGTTCCTACAAACAACACATACAAGGGAAAAGGAGAAATGAGATATAAAGACAACATTTTGCAAGCCTGAGTCTATTGTGGAAACGTTCATACGCTAGACTTTCAGGTGATTTTTCCACATAATAAAGCAATGCAATGTGCAAAACTTTTCAAGAGAGAGTTGTTTCAACATCCACACAATGACCATTTCTGGAAACCTCAGTCATCTTCCTAACATTTCAGATTAGGAAAATTATAATGAAAGCACCACAAAGGTAGTTGAGAGGACTCTTAAAACCAGCAAGGATAAAACCAAATAAATAGGATGAACCTACCGAACTACATGGAATCTGGTTAAGTACTTTAAATACACTAAGGGTTAGGGGTTATTTGAAATAAGCAGAACCTCTTTTTCAACAATCCAGCTTCCATTTCTCTGTCATCTTTCACCTGAGCATAGTTTTACTCCCTGTTCAGCAGATGACAACAGTTGTGTATCAAGGAACACTACCTTAAATTGTGTCTCAAGAACCAAGACCTTTAGACAGGTATTCGTAGCACTGCTCCTAACTCTTCCAATTTATGAAATGAGGCATGTAGGACCAGTACACTTGACTGATGCTGCTGAATTTATTTCTTATATTAAGTAATCTAGGAAACGCAACGTAATTTTTCACTCTTCCTCCCTCCATTCTCACCACGATGAACTTAACGGTCAGTTTGCATGCCATTTTCACGAAACAGCAGATTTAACCCATATCCCTCATTCCCTAACTAAACTAGTGTGAAATTAAGATTTAACAGCATTAACCAAAATTAATTCACAGACTTCTGTGAAACTTTGCACAGGAGATTTTTGCATTCAATTCCAGCTTGTCCCAGCAAATCAAGCTGTGAGACTCCAGGCAGGGATGTCACAGAAGTAATTAAGGCGTTCTCCTTGAAATAAGCTCAAGTCAGATATCAATAAGAGATTTAGGATTCTGAGAACACACTAACATGAAAATAACTCATCAACAAAAATGATTAACTTTTCCTTCTAGGCAAAGCCAGACAAAGTCTGCATACCTTGAAACTCCAAGCTTGCCTTCCCTCTCTACCATGCAAGCACATCTTTCAGTCCCATTTGCCAAGCAAAATAACCTCTACCCAGAGAGCAAGCATGGAAATAACCTCTACCTGCACAAAAAGCATGTGAAAGTTTCATTGCCAAAGAGGTGGGTTTTACCGAGCTACATTGTGTCCGAACAGTTTCATTTTAAACTTCTGTGTAAACTTTAAACTGTGGCTTTTGTCCACACAAAATCTGCAGTTGTGTGCCAGCCCCATGTCAAAGTATAATTTCTTTCTCTAACATATATGTGGACATTTCTTAAGTTAAACTAATTTTGATGTAAAGCAATACCTTGACCTTTTCCCTTTTATTATTCCTACATTTTGGTCCAGAGAGTGAAATTTATCTCTGTGATTTAATTCAATCAAAGTAATATAACTTAAATATGACAGAGCTTGTAACGTAGAGTCTTTAAAATGCCAGGTTATTTTTTTCCTTTATCTATAAGCAATTATTTTTTATTAGACTTGCTGTGTTACCAGAATCAATCTTGAACTTTTCATCAACATTGTTTAGAGAGTAAAAAGAGCAAGAAAAACCAATACAAATGCAGCTGTCTCATTTTGTTCCTATTTGCAAATTCAAGGTATCCTACTCTATTTCAGCTTCTTCAGTACCTGAGTTTCAGGAGGAAAAGAGAATTTTTTTTAGACTAAGTTCTGAATATTTCAAGAACACCGAAGGATTTGGTAACATGAACCCCTTTACACTTAGAATGGAATTAAGAAGGGGGGAATGGAACCAAACAGTCTACAACAAGAAACTGTGGTATGTCTACCACATGCATAAGAAAAATCTACTAGTCACATTCTGAAACATTTCTAGATTAGTTTCCATATTTCTACACAATCAAAACTGAATTCCTGAAGAAAATGTTCCTACTTTAAAAAGTTCCTGCTATCGCATCTTCCCAATATTTACGATTCTTAGCAGTATATGCTGAACCTACTGTACACATTCCCATGCAAATTCTAACACACACTGTGCACAGAACATATATATAAAAATAACTTTTTAAGAAACAAATTGTAAGATTGAAAATTATATTGAATCATGTAAAATCTAGCATGAAGATGTAAAAGTGTTAGCTGAGCGATAAGAATCTACATTTCTAGAATCTTTTTGTCATGTAAAACCTACATGTCTAATTCCTGACACCTGAGGCCTTGTTAAATAATGTTTGCTCTTCTGCTTATGAATGCATTTTTCCCAAACAATAAACACAGGCAGCCTATGGGATTAAAGCATGACAAAGGTGTAGCTGACTCATGGGATCAATTAGAAAGCATCAGTACTTGTGCCTTTTGTTCATTCCATGTTTTACTAACAGTTTCTGCGTTTTCAGCAGAAGTGTAGCACAGATGTTAAACGCCATGCTACAAGGCAACAGCACACTAGCACCACACGCTAGACAGACTAAATCTATTCTTATCACCACCTACAATTCTATCACTTGTTATACAGCTTGAGTATTTCTTTAAAGTTTTAACAAATGCATAATGATTTTAACAGAATGCCCATAGCTTCTTGCCCAATCAAAGTATGTCAGCATTTTTTTCAGTACGTTTTTAACATTCAAAAAGAACCCACAGAGTTGTCTTTTCTAAGCTAAAAACAATCTTAAATACAGCCACAGACTCTAATGCCACCTCAGGTGCAGCCTTCCCTCAAAACCCACTATTAAATCCACAAGCAGGAAAGCCCGTGAGCAGGACGACAAGCGGTTTCAATCTCCATGCACTTTGCTCGCGACAGGTTATTGATAGAACAAACAGAATTTGCAATACTTACTGAGTGCTTCTCCTGCTGTCCCATAACTCCATGGTTAGCTGGGATTGCAAGTGGTTTCATAATGAAGAAACATAAGCTGAACTGAATTTACACATCATGTACCAATTTCTTATGGATGGCAAGTCACCCTCTACAGCATTGAAGTAAAAAGAGGAGGAGGGGGGGAAACCAAGCTGGAGCGAAAAGTGTCACTACTGGCAAGCTCAAAACCCCCCTCGCACTTGTAGTGCAGAGCAGCAATCCAAATGACAGCGTTCGTCTCCATTTTTGTAACACTGAAAGTCTAAGCATGTCAGGACACACAGAGCCTGACGAAACCCTACATATCCAGCATTCATCCAAGGGAACAAAACCATTCCCTGAGCCTGAGGAACGGGAAGAAAAGAAAAAGGAGGAAAAAAAAAGCTAAAATGGCTGACTGCACAGAGACTCCCTCAAAAAGGCTTAATACAGTGTTATATTAGTCAGGGTGCAGGAACCAGCCTCCAGCATTCAGCCAAGCATTGTTAATACTCCTGTTTCATTTGCAATCACACACACTGACACACGCAGCCTCCCCTCTCTCCACCACTACCCTCCACTCCCCCAAAATCAGGGCAGAGCACGGGAAGAGGGACCTCCTCCCCTGGCTGCTAATGATGCTGACAGAGTAGTGACCAGTGATCTCGGTTCCACTCAGCTAACCAAGTTTGCACGATTAATCTTAGCAGCATGACATTGATGGACATTTAATTTTACGATGCCTGTCCCTCGCAATCAAGACAAGCACGTCTACCGCCCAAAGAGTCAGCAACAAAAATACAACACAGTTACACACACACACGAAAACCCAGAGAATCATGAGTCTGAATGCAATACGCCAATATAATTACGTTATTGTGCTTACTTTGGAAGACCATGGCTGCAGGCAGTTGGCATAGCAACGCACAAGGAAAGCCATTTCCTGGGTAGAAAGAATGCTTCCTTTTCTAAATAAAAAATTCCTCTTAGGATACAAACGGCATTGCTGCTTCCTGCAGAAAGCAAAGACACTGTAGTCTGTCTCTTAACCTGCACACAGGCACACGCTCAATGCAGTTCGGGTGATGTAAGTGGATTTCTCCCTCTCTCTCTCCTCTCCCTCCCTCTCCCTTTATCCACCGAAATATTGAAGTCAAATGGAAGACACATTCCTTGAGGCTCGCCCCCTCGGATACTTAACCATTTCACTCATTACGGCAGTGATGGACAATGCAGATAAAACAGCAAGCTCTTGCCTGTAGCTGGTATCAGCCTCTGAAGATCAAGGCAGCCCCAGAGGGGAGGGATCTGCTCGCTGCCGGCTCCCAAGAGTGTCACTGAAGTCAGGGTGGGAATAGGGACCCACGTTTACCTCGCCAAATCCTGAACTGAACACGACTTTTCACGAAGATGGGGATAAAGCCGGGGGGTTGACATCACCTCCCTTTTTCCCCCACCCAAAAGAGCGCTGCTGCAGAGCTGTAAACATCAAGTATTTATAAACAGGGCACTTGATTTTAACAGAATGCCCATAGCGCTCGGATTTTCAGCGGCTACGCAGGCCACAGATATCCAGGGGCTGTGGCAGGTTAACGTCCGGAAGCCTTTAACACGTCATTTAAAGCCTTTCTGAATATAGCTCTGGCTCTTCCTTGCACACCGAAAACACAGATTCCGCTAAAAACAAAAGGGGATGCAAGAGCTGGAAGAGAATGACATACATCTGGCTTTTATAATTCTCCCCTCTGACTGTAATTATATCTCAAACTCAGAAATCTCCCCCGTCGCTCCCATTTACACCGTACCACTTCTCGGGTTTCACTAGCAGCATCACACTGCAGCGGAGCTGAAACGCAGCGGGGAGCGTGCTCAAGCAATAACCTAACCGCCAGCCCTACACACCGCACATCTTCAGCGCCACGAATTCACTCCAGCGGACTGAGGGGAGACCAAGCCAGGACAAACAGCAATGTGCCACTCTGCCATCAGGCTGCAACTTCAACACAGTCCCCTAGAACACATTTACAACACATTCTTTAAAATCAGAGACCATCTGTGCTTAAAGTAACTTCAAAGTCTTCTTTTTTTTAACAAGAACAATAGAAAAAAAGACTTAAACACACGGGCAAAAATGAACACTATGTCATACAATCGGCACCTGCCTTCCCCCAGAACAACATCTCCACGGATAATTAGTTTAGTTTGTTGCACAGTGATTTCTTTCGGTACTGACAATGACTGCTAGTAAATGAGGCTATAAAAAATAGCGGAAATTACTTCTAGTAAAGCAAGAAAAGATCCTGAAATATCTGGTCCATTTTTTCCACAATTATTCTATGGACACTATTTCACACACAGCGCATTTTAAATTGAATATATTTACATTTATGAGAGTTTAATGACACTTGCACCCTTGGTCTTCTAGTATATGCTAAAAGATAAGTTATTCTTTAAACAACTGAATTACAAAAATTAGTTTAGAATTTTTAAAAGTCTTTGTAACGTGCCAGTGCAACTAACCGGTGATTTTAAAATGTTAAATTATGCTTAAGCCCTGTAAAACAGTCTAATGCTGAGCGCAATCAATTTCCTGATGAAGTGCTGACCAGAAATAGCGGAAGTTATTCATTCTAGGAAGCTTAGACAAACCCTCTCTTGCATAAAATTTAAAAACATTACTTGTTGACAAAGCTGTTAAAACCCTCCTGAGTCCGATTTGGTGGCCTTGCGGTTAACACCATGAGCAGAACTGGACTGTGGGGTTTTACGCTCATGTCAGGAAAAAATGAAGCTCTGCCAAGACAGAGACGTCTCCCGGCGCAGCAAGAGAGCACACCACTTTCTGAATTCCCTTACACACATCTTACTCTGCATCCGTTGGTATTTCCAATTAAAATCTAGCCCAAGTTTCTGTGGCATAAGCCTTGAAGAGTAACACGAAAACATGAACAAAAACATTAAAGCAGTAGTGAAAGCCAAAACTTCCAGATGATGGTGCCATAAAACGCCTCCTTACTACTTATTCTGGTTACTACTATGCACCTCTACTCGCCTGTTGGAAAATTAAGTCAGCACTTCATATACAAATGCAGAATTTCAAGGAACCTAAGTCTGACTGATGTTCACGTGCATCAGACTGATGAAAACTTGGTGGTTTCCAAAACAGAAAAAATCCTCTTTATGTTCAAAATATGAAAAGTAATATTTATGAAATTAAGTAAAGAAAACACCACTCACAGGCAATTTGTGAGTCAAAACAATTTCAAGAAATAAACGGTTGATTCCATTCCCTACTCCTGCCTGAACTGCCACCACGTCCACCACTTTCCAGGTACAGTGGTGCAGTGTAATCGTATGTACTGCCCATTATCAGATCAGAAAATAATAACATATAAATTGTATTTTATAAAAAAATGATTCATGCAGAAGTTTAGTGAATCATCATATGTTTCAGTAAAGAATGAATGGAATATATATCGGTGTCAGACATCAGAACATTATATCCTGGAAAGTTTCTATCATAAGCAAGTATGAACAGCTTATATAAAACCTAACCGCAACTTTGTGTTCATGTGTATTTCAAAACCCATATAAGAACTCCTTGGTTAGACTTAAAGTTTGAAAACAGCAAAACATTTTTGCTAATGCTTTCAGGCAATTAAAATGAGATGTTAATAAACCTGATGTGCAGTAATTGGACATGATGGGCTACCCCCAGCTGCTTTCAATATATTACATTTATAAGAAAGCTGGCATCTCTTTATGAGACGCAGAAAAGAATGGTAAAAAAAATCCTTTCAGAAGTAACCACAAACGTTAGGACATCCTTGGACTACCCACAGGATTCAGGATTCAGAAACAGTTGTTCTGAATTTAAGGTAGAAACTGATACAGAGCTCAGCAGCATCTGACTGTAATGCCTCTTCGCTATTTTATGTTCTAGAACGTAATCTCATATCGATATTATTCTCCTAAACAGCATCAACAATGCTTGGAGTATTAAACCTTTTTAGGTTAATGAGAAATGCTGCAACAACAGATTACCTCAAATCTTCAATTTCAAGCAGTCACCTTAACTTGCAACTATTTATAGGAGTACTTAAAATTTTATACAGATTACGTACATAGAAACCATCCTCCTCAAAACCAGAAGTTAGCCCATTTCCCCCGTCCCATTGAACACAATGCAAAGTATTGTTTCCTTCATGTTCAAAATCTTGGGCAAAAGACAGCAGAACACTGTAAGGTCACCAAGTTTACTGCCACTTCATGACTCCAGTAGCTAGAAAAATGGGGGGGCAGGGGGGAAGGGGTCAAATTTAACATAATTACCAAGGAATAAGGAAAAAATCCACAATCATTATGTGTGTCCCAAAAACATTCACAGTGAAGGGATTATTACACAGATATTACACAGCTGTGTAGGTGGAACACAGACAGCTAAATTGAAGAGTGCAAAAATGGAGAACATAATTTCAAGGAAAATAAGGTAAAGGTGTCTTCGCTTCCCCCCACCCCGCTCACTTGGAAAAAAATGGAGGTTTAAAACTTAATTTTAAGCTCAGGACTATGGACACAAAATTCTTTAGTTCCCAGGAGCGTGCTTCTAAATTTTATGCTGCTGATGCTGTCTCGCTCCCACTAGCCTCATGAGAGAGACTGCTAAATAACAATCTGATGCTCCCATCAGATTTAAAAACACCAACTGCAACCACTAAAACCCCGGAACAATAATTCACTCCAAATGCTATGATACATCAAAGTGTCCCATACAATATGAAAGTTTTATTCTAATGTATTTAGGCAAATTTACTGCCAGAAATTTAAATCTCTGGCCATATGACCCAATTTCACACAAGCGAGTTCCTGTTTATCAGCGTAACGCAGACCTGGGGTGGTCCAGGCACACCTGTCCTATTTGCATTTCCTCCAGAACTTTCAGAACTTGAAATAAAACTCTGTCAAATAAAGGAAAATTTGTTCTCAAATGTGAGTTTCTATGACTAAAATACCACTTTGGCCATAACACACTGATAAAGTAATAGTATTTGTCAAAATAACTTTTTTCATTCATACAGCTGTGGCACGAACATCACTAGAACCACACCACCGGCAACACCAAAGCACCAGTTACAACGGAGCCATGTGTGCTGTTTTGCTAACACATTTACTAATGTTACAGACCATTTGAACAAATGCCCTTCTGGTGAGCTGCTGCCGCATCTATAATCCGGATCTTTAAACTAACAACAAGCCCAGAGCAGCCGGGCTGGTGCCTCAGCTGGGTGGATGTGCCGCAGACTGCCAATCTTCCCTTTGACAGCAGACTCGTTTGTCACCTTCTGTGCACAGCTCTGCTTTCAGTACAGCAAA